CGGAGCATGCGGTGTGGTGACAGGCTCCTCCAGCGGGGCCTACAAAACGGGGGTGGGGGGTGTGTGCTATGGCCGGGCAGGGTAGGGAGAGGGCGGATATGATTTCTAGTTCGTTTCCTTCCATTGTCCTGCGACCGGACGGCTACGCCAGCTGCTTCCCCTCGAGGAGGTGGGGAAAGCCCCGAGGTGGGGGAGGCGAGAGACGCGAAGGAGACCTAGGCGTCCGGCCTCTCGCTCCTGACTCTCTTTTGAATCCTTTTAGGGATCCAGAAAGACGGACTCCCGCCCCGAGCCCGCTCGCTCTCCCCCAATCCCAGCTCACTGGGCACCCGCCCGTCGGCTACGCTTGGAGGCTGGCGGGGCGCCGGGGTCCAGCGCGGCAAGCAGGCAAGGCTCGGCAATGCGCGGCTGCCTCCACGAGGGGGCGGGCGAGCGCTAGCCTCGCCTCGCCCGCCGCCTCCACCCTGCTGGGGGTGCCCTCAGACCCCCGCGCAGGATCGGTTCGGTCTGGGCGGCTGAAACCTTCGGCCTCCTCCCTTTTGTGCCGGTTTATTTTGCACCTCTGTCTCCTAAGAGGGAACTAGGGTTGGGCAGAGGGGACCGAGGGGACATTCCCCTCAGGCTGGGGCCCCTACCTGAGGCGAGACGTCCACAGGCTTTGGGAGCCAGGGGAGTGGGTGGGACAAGAAGCGGGGCCTGAGCCTGGGAGCACAGGGCTTTCTTTTCTAATCAAGGTAGAAACTACTATCCAGATGTCTTTGAAAGTGAATTTTTATTGAACATGAATATGAAAACTGGATGGAGTAAACAGCAAGGAAAATAGGGAGGAGGGGTCAGGAGAGGCCTGACAACCCTAATTTTAAGTCCCCCATCTGAGAGATATGCGTGGGTCACACCCCCATATTTTGTTTGGGGAGACTTTGGGGGGAGGCAAGTCTCATCTGGAGAAGGGGGCTGGAGCTGACTCCAGCTGCGAAGCAGGAGTTCCTGGGGTTTGGGCCCAGGAGAGTGTACAGTGGCCCAGGAATGACTGACCGTTGTCCCTGGAGCTGGATATGCAGGTCTGAGCCCTCCCCTGCGTGTCTTCATTTGAGTGCATGCAAGAGCAGCTGAGAGACTGGGAGACGACTCAGCATTCACGGTGGTGAAGGGGCTTTGAGATGTGAGAGTTACTTTGGTCTCTGCCCATTTTGGAGGTAGGAACTAGACTAGGGTTTCCCTTCGGTATCAGGATGGCGTGTTAGCTGGTCAGTTGCCAGGTGCCCATTTATTATGGGGTGTGAGTTCATTCGATTGTTAGGAGCACTGGGGGCTGCATTCAGCCTTGAGGGCCTTTGGTGAGGCACAAGGCTGATTTTGAAGCTACATTGATTCTAGAGGTTCTGATGCCCACAATTTGGAGATTGTGCTCATCTCTGTCATCATGGACTATCAGGAGAGCCAAAGTGCTCATGCTGGTTTTGGGGCACAGCCTGTTTGGGGGTACTATATACATTTTAAGGCTCAGATTAGATTTGGGGGGACATGAAATTCAGTTTGGAGTTTTAAAATTAGTTTGAGATGGAACATAGTAGGAAGCTGTGAGCAAGCTTAACGGCTTTCTGTGATTGGGGGGGGTCCCAGGAGGTGGAAGCAAAGTTTTATATTTGAATCTTGTGGAAGCTCACTTTGATGGGGGGATATTCCTGTGTATGCATGGCTAGCCAAGAAGCTTTTTCTAGGGTGAGAAACAAGGTGAAGGCCCCCGGGGTAGGGGACTAAAATTTTGGGGTGTCCTTATTTTGGGGGTGTTTTGTCACTTTTTGGGTACTTTTGGTGAAGCCGAGGGATGGAGCATAAGGTGAGACTGATTTGGGACTTCACTTACTTTAGAGCACAATTCTGGTTTGGGATGTCTTTGGCTTATAGCTCCCTCTCACCCCAGATTTTAGAGATTTTTCTTTATTGAACCCCCAAATAAGTCCAGGACTTAAAGGGAGAAGCCTGGAAGGGGTGGTATCTCCTCTTATTACTATGTGGCCTAGATAGATCTGAGGGAGAAAAGGCAGTTTCAGACTCTGAACCCCAATTTCTTAAAGGAGCACACAGCAGTTTGGGGGAAGGCAGAGGAAAATGGGGTGTCTCTTGGCAAAGTGGACACCCCTGACCAGGGTAGTGATGCTAGAACTGTGGCAAGGAGGGGTGGCAGTGAGGTACAAGGAGGTGATCCCTGTACCCTGATTTTCTAGGACAAGAGCCTCAAACAGAAAGCAGAGGACTGGGAGTGTGGGTGAGATGAGGGGGGAGGGGTTCCCAACGGCAGCAGGGGCTAGAGGGTAAGCCAGGCCAGCTCTTCGCGCCTGGGTCCCTGCTCTCTTCGGCTCTCCTCCCCTCTCTCCCTCCCACCGCCCACCCCCCCAACCCAAGGAAAAAAAACTGCCTGTGCAACAGCAATGGCAGATTCCAATCCTCCAGGCTTTCCTAAACCACCACCGAGACCAGCCGGGGGGGAGGGGAAGGGAGGATCGGGCTTTCCTGCTTCCTTAAGACAGGGGCAATGAGCTTGACCTCCTGGCCCCTAGCCCTTTGAGGAGTGCCCCCCCCGTCTGGAAGCCAGGTGTCCTGGACCCTAGCCCCCGAGCGGGGGGGCCTGCAGAGACGGGGAGGAGGAAGGAGGGAGTGACTTCCAAAATTGGCATCGGGACAGAGCAGGGCTGGCGGGAGGCAGGCAAAAGACGGAATTTTCCTGAAAAAACGGGGGTATCTGAGGACCCCAAATTTGGGGAGCTAGTCCAGGACCGTCCTCCCAACACCCTAGATTTTTTGGGGATTTTTTGGGGACCCTGGGACCCCTCTAGATGGGGTGAGGAATGTAGTGTTGGGGGAATCTGACTGGGGCATTGCAGCTGCCTCTCCCGCCGAGTTGGAGACGGATGGGCTGGGACGGGTTTTGGGGGGGTGTCCCCAATTCTGACTGGGAGTGGAGGAACCCCCTCCTGAGCCCTCTTGTGGGGGTCCCTCCTCCCCAGGGCACTCCCCAGTCCCTGAGCCAGCCGAGAGGAAGGAGGCCAGCGATGCGACTGGGGCAGCTCCTTTCTCCTGCACCCCAAATGTGAGGGATGCACCCCAAATTTTGCTCCTTTCAAAATAGGGGACCAGGATCTCAGGGGAGAGTAGCTGAGGTAAGTGGGGAGGAAAGTGTCCCCTGTTTTCAGGAGAGACGTGGCGGTTGGGGGGAGGTTTGGAGGTGCTTGCTGGGGTGGGGTTGGGCTTTGTCAGTCTTGGAATTGGGGGGATGATTGGAGAGGCTTTCTCTTATACCCCTAAACTACAGCCCCCAGATGGAAACCAAAGGCTGAGACCAGAGAGCCCTCAACATCCCCAGCCGTTAGGAGTGTGTTTGATTTCTCTTTCACCCCCACAAAGGCTCTGCCGAGGGTGGGAGCTGGGGGCAGCTGTTCTGGGGGCTAAGGAGGGTGAAGTGAGGAGCAGGAGGCCTTGGCAGGGTTTGATGTAGGACAGATAGGGGTCTCGGAGGAGGGGGTCTGGCATCCTTGGGGGCCTAAAATGACTGCTTATATACACCACCTTAGATCATTTTGATTGCTAAGAGTTTTGGGGGGTGTGTCGGAAGGGGGAGCGGTAAAAGGTGGGATGGGATATAGGAGGATAACTTTTGGGTGTTAGAGGGTGTTATTTTGATTTGCAGAAGGGATTTTGGCCCTTGGATTTTGCTTTCTGGGGGGTGCTGTTTAAATATCAAGTCCTGGACAGGAGAAAAAGGCTGAGTGAAGGCCTAGGGTGGGGGGTGGGGAGAGGCATATTTGTCTCAGCTTAAACGTGGCTCTCTGGGGTGGGCCCGCCTGCCTGGGCCTGGTGATGGGCTGATGGAGGTTGTTGTGAGGGTGGGGCTTGGGTCCTGAGGGCCCGTGGGCAGTGGGAACGGCACTGGGGGTTGAGTACTGGCCCCCAGGTCCAGATGGCCCTCTTCCTGGGCCCTGCTGCTCCCCTTTCTCCCTGGCCTCCATTTCCTGCCTTTGGCCTCCATCTTGTGGCAGGCCCAGGGCCCAGGGCGACTTCCGGCCCCCCTCTCCCAACCGTGTTCCGGCCTCACCACCTCTGGACTGCCAACTCCCAACCCTGCTGTCCTTGGCCCTCTGTCTCTTCTTGCTTTTCTCTTGGGTTCTGACCCAGGGAGGGGAGGAACGGACACAGGAAGCCTTGGGTCTCTGCCCTTGCTGAGTCGGGAGGCAGTTTGTTGGTCCCCTACAGTCACTCCCTATTTCTTCTGCCTGACCCCACCCTAGGGACCTCCTGAGCTGAGTTCCTACAGAGGGAAGATGGTCCAATCTTACTACACCGTGAGCTCATCCCCTTCCAGTTGCTGCTCCAGGACTGAGGTTCCTGTCCCTGGTTCCTGGTTTTCCCCAACTGATTTGGGGCCATGTTTGCCTTGTAAGCCTTCTCTATCTCCCTGCTCTTGGTGGTGGTGGTGGGATCTTCCCACCACCGTCTTGTGCTGTCTTCCTCTCAACCCAGCCCAGTCCTGCTCCCGCCCCAGCAGCACACTGTGGTTTGTACGGCACTGTGGCCACGTCCAAACCACACTGTGGTGTTAGAGCGAGGGTGGGGGAGGCACCGCTGAGGCTTGGCCCTGGGAGGCCATCCTGGAGAAGCAAAACAAAAAACACCTGGGGCCTTGTGACAAACTTCTTTGAGTGGGGAAGAAGGGGATGGGGTGTGAAAGCACTGGAAACAGCCCCTCTAAAATCCCCAGGGCAGTCTCAGGAATACTGTCGGCCAGAGACCTTGGGAGTAAGTTCTGCCACCAGAGAGCAAAGTGGAGTCTTTGTTGCCCACACCCAGCTTCCCTGGCTCTAGCAGCACAGAAATATTGGCACTGGGAAGCCAATCTGCCAATATTGGCTGTGCTGCTCCAGGCAGGGTGGCGAGAGCTACTCAGGGCTGAGGAGAGAACAGAGAACAGCTCTCTCTTAATAATGTTTAGCAGACAGCACCAAGCTGAGAGGGAAATCTTTATTGTTTTCTGTATAAAAATGTCCATCAGATGGAGGACAAAGGGGTTGGGGGCAGACGCTTATACAGGAACAGCAAAGTGGACAGCCCCAGCAGCTTTTTGGCCCTCTCTTGTGCAGGCCTTGCTCAGAGTCCCAGGCAATCCACAGGTCCAGGGTGAACAGTGAAAGAGGTCAGAGGTGGCAGGCTCAGCGGGAGAGTAGAGGAGGATCAGCGGAGGTCATGAGAAGGCCAGAATCCAGGGTCAGGCTGTCTGGAACAGGAAGTAAAATGGGCCGAGATGGAGGGAGCCCCAAGCATGCTTCCAAGACAACACCCACCTCCTCAAAGCACCCTGCTACTTACTGACCCAATCCCCTGCACTGTGTCTGAGAGCACCCTCTCTTCCAAAGCCTCTGCATAGGGGAGGGGAGGGACTCCTGCTGAGATCCTCCCTTACCATTAAGGTGAGCACTTCCTCCCTAACCCCTTTGGCTGGTGTAGGAGGAGGAGGACTCCTACCCTGGTCGAAGTTGAGTTTCTTGGCTGGAGGAGTTTCTCCCAGCCCTTCAATATCCACCAGGTCACTGTTGGCGTCAGAGTCGTTCAGAGCACTGAGTGTCACATCTGGGAGGAGGGCATAAGCTAGGTTCTAGGTTCCCCTGACTGCCCCCACCCCCGGCTTCCCAAAGCTTCATCTCCCCCACCCCTCTGCCCCTCTCTGGGGACCTCCACAGGGACAGGAAGAGAGATTTGTCTTTATTTCACCCAGGCCCAATTCTCTCACTGAACCTCAGGTGGGACCTTAAGCCTTAGGTAGCAACTCCACAGCCCTCACCAGCCTTCTGTTTCTTTACGGGGGGACCCCCGGCCTCAGGGACACTGGAGCTGCTGGGTGGAGGGGCAGCTGGAGGAGGTGACAAGACACCAGATGCCACCTTCTTGGGCCCTTTCTTGGGTGACTCAGCTGGAAGGGGGATGCCAGAGTCTTCATATACCTTGCGTTTCACAGTGGCCTTTATCTGAGCCCTGAAGAGAAGAGAAAGCAGGTTAGGAATTAGTCATCAGAGAGACTGAGGGAAGAAGGGAGGGGATGGGAAGGGGTAATGGGCCACTCTGAAGGAATTCTGGGAGCCCCTTCCTATGAATCCAGGTCAGGGCCCCAACCCATTGGTAGGGTTCTCATTTTTCTGAAGCTCTGCAGTCACTCAGGGTGGATGGAGTGTGAAGAGTGGAGTCCCCTGAACTGAATAGTAGGAAAGGCCTGTCCTCTAATTCTCTTCTCAGAAAGATATATGGATGTTGCAGGCCACCAGGTAAGGCTTGGTGATTTACAGGTAGATTGGGACTGATTAGTGGATCCTGATCAACTAGTTCAGAATCACAGTATCCCCGGGAATACTGCAGTAAGGTCTCAAAAGATCTAGATAAATAATCAAGAAACTCCCATTATCAAATATAATAATTGAGTTATCTCAGGCAACCAAAAATCAAATTCTTGTAAGGTCCTGATTACATCAGCATTTTAGGAACTTCTGATCGGTTGTGACAATTCTATTCTTTCAGTCCTCAAGGGGATTCTAACAAAACTAGTAACAAAGTAGGGAAGATAAGTTGGAAAAGAGTTCTGAGGAAGACGGAACTGGGTAAGGAGGAAGAAAGCGACCCACCCCCCTTTCTCTGCCAGCCACCCTCCCTCACACTGTCCGTTCCTTGATGACACAGCTGATGTGATTAAGATCGTCCCCAAATCGCTTCACAGCAGCCCTCAGCATCTCTATCTCCGTCTCCGTCCACTTCGCACTGTCAGAAGGGGAGAGGGGGGATAGCAAAAATGGGAGGAGGAGAGGTGTGGAGCCAGCCCACAGGCTATGCATTCCACAGCCTACCAGCCTCCTCCTCCCAATCTCGGGGGCCCCTTCCATGGATGCATAAAGAGGTCCTCCTTAAAAAAAAACAAAAAACGCTCTTAAGGCCCTGCGGGAACCCTGAGGATCCCCAACCACATGAAATCAAAACATCCTCTATTTTAGAACATCCCTTTCCTCCATCAACGTGAAGTTGATGCTGTAAACAGCACACGATTCAACAAGTAGGGGCCTGACAAACAACCCCTCAACACTGCACAGAGCCCGCGGGAGTTCCATATGAGCTGGGGTGAGTGGTGGTGGTGGTGGTGGTGGTTTGTGGTTTGCTGGTTCGCAGCGGAGTACAACTGTGAACCACGAGTCCGGGTTATGGGCCTCAGTCTGTATTTTTATCTGTCATTCATCCCTTCATTTAACAATCATTTATTAACACCTCCTCTGCGCTGTGCCAGGCACAAAGAGAAACTAACAAGTGCCCCTGTCTTAGAGAGGGTCCATGTCTGTGACCGAGTCCATGCTTTCGCTCTCAGTGTCCACGTCCCCGTCCGGGCTCACGTACCCAGCAGGGGAAGAGTCGGCCACAGGATGCAGCTGCATCGTCAGCTCCCCGAGCTTGGTGAAGGCGGCGCCTGCCGCGGAGAAGATCTCTCCGACCTGGGGGCGGGGCAGCGTTACGGGGGGCAGGCGCACACCCCCGCGCCGTCCCGCCCGGAGCCCCTAGCCCCACCCCAGGCTCAGCTCCCGCCCGCCCCCCGCCCGGGGCGGAAGAGCCCAGAGCCAAGTGGGGGGGACCCGCCCTCCCGTGGCCGCCAGGGAGCGCTGTCCGCGAGGGAGGACGAACCTTTGTGGACGCTGACGTCATGGCCCCGCGCGCCTCCTCACGGAGACGCCGCCGCCGCCGCCACCACGCGAGCCGGGACCACGGAGAGCTGGACGACTGAAGCTCCGGCCCCCACGCAGGAAGTCCCTCCCTCCCCGCAGCTGATTGGCTCATACTCGGCCGCTCCCCGTCTCATCGATCGCGGTCGTAGACCGCCTAGGCGCTCCAAGGGAAGGAGCGGTGGAAGCCGCCGCCTCACTTCCGGCTGGCTTCACTGCACTTCCGTCTAGGGGTTTGGACTCCAGTTGAGGCCGCCCTCCAGCCACAGCCCAGTGCTCGCCCCCTCACCCAAGCACAGACAAGGCTTACAAGAGCAGATTTTCTTTATTGTGGTACAAGACAAAGCGAGGGAGCTGGAGAGACAGTCAATGGCCAGTCCCAGCCACCTCCACTGGGGCCCGAGGGGGAACAAGGGATTCAGTTTCTCGCCAGGGAAACCCAGTCCCTCAGAGGGGGCTAGGATGGGTGGGACGCGACCCAGGTGAGGGGGTGTAAGGAGTCTTTAAATAGAGGAAGGCTCTGGAGAGGGGAAACGGGACCACGCTCTAGCGCACCATGTATTCCTTGCGCTTATTGAGCCGAACTTGGCAGAAAGAGAAGCCTCCAAGGAGGAGGTAAAGTCCGGCGGCGATGAAACAGTTGTAGCTGACTTGCTCGTAAAGGTTGTATATGTTCTGGGGGCCATTCCTGGAGATGGGGATTAGACAGAGAAGCGTCAAACATTAATAGCAGCCAAAGCTTAGTGAGCACTGACCATGTGCCAGACACACCAATCTAATCGTTTTTACGTGTATTATTCAATCTTTTTGACCACCCTATGTGATGAGTTATATAATATCTGTTTTGCAGAGGTGGACTGAGGTACAGAGAAGTAAAATACCCAAAGAGGCCACACCTAAAGTGGTGGGTTTAGGATGGCTGATGAGTTCCCAAGACTGGTTCCTGGGAGTCTGGTTCCCAAGACTGCTACTAACTACATTCTGAAGAAAGCAGTTCTCCCGTGTCAGTTCCCTAACCTCGGTGCCCCAAACACCCAGCCTCCCGGACACAAGTCTGCGCCCAGCCCCACTTCCCCCACCTGACTACTTACTCAAAATCTTTCTCCGTGAAGGGAACATCCTCTATTAACACAGCGGAATGGACGTTGAAAAATATTCCGAGCATTATCTGAAAAATGGGAATGGCAAGGTTGTTGAACTCAGGCACCTGACCTCCTGGTCACGCCCTAAACCCCTCCCATTTCTAATGTTGCCACAACACCTGGGCCTGGGATTAACCAGAAGAAGGTAGGACTAGGGGTGGTTGTTGCTGGATTCGTACTCGGCCACCTGGAATAGGGATTGAGGTGGTGACATTGAGAATGGCTCGAGCAATGTCAGAATAGTGAGCAACCCGTCTTTCCCAGGAACCCAAGTTATCCTCCTCCCCAGAGGCGTCATTATCACGGGACAGCGCGGAAGAGATGAGGAAGAACCGGCATTTCTTCATAGTATTTCTTCTTGAAGTGGGGGTAGGATAAAGACCTGGACAAACGAGGCCCAGCCGTCCATTTCGGTTACAAGCACTCCCCTTCCCCCCATATCTTCCATTCAACTCAAGCATCTGTCTCTCAGAAACCCAGCTCTTCTTTTTCTTACCTTGAGGGGTTTCCACACTTACCAACCCCGGCTCCTCCCGTCCCAGACTTCACTCCCCCACCCCGCTCCAGTTCCCATTTTTCAATCTCAGTTCTGTCTTGTTCTCCAGCGGCCAGCAGACCAACCAGCTCCATCCTGCCTGCTGCCTTCTAAGGCCCGGAGTTTCCTAGCCTTCCAACCCCGGAGCCCCTCAGGCCCTCTCGGGTTCTCGCCGGAGGGGCCCCTCACCAACATGATCACTCCCCAGGCGCTGAGCACTATGCCGCAGGCGGCCAGCTTCGGCCCACAGCACAGGAGCGACGCCATGGAGAAGGGAGATCGGGGATCCTCTAGGGGTGAGCCGGAGGAAAGGCGGTGAGAGGAAGCCCTGGATGCGCCGGGAGGGCCGCGGAGAGGGAGTGGCCTCCGGCCCCAACCATCATGCTTGGGGGTGGAGGGGACGGCGGCGGGGAACGCCAGGCACCTCGGAGTCCTCTCGGGACTTCTGCGGGAGAAGACGGTATCTGGAACTAAAGCAGCTGTTTGAAAGCCCTTACTGACCTATGTAGCTGGGGCGTGAGTATTGGAAGAAGGACTCCAGTTTCCTGGTGTTCCCCCGACTCCAGATTGAAATGGAAGGAGCTGGTATATCACGTGACCAAGCTTGGCGAGTCACGTGACGAGGAATTCGCTGTAACGGGGCCTGGAGGAAAAGTCTGTAACCCTGGCGGAGCGCTTGATAACTTGGACGATGGGGCTCTTAGGATCAGAGGATTGGAACCATCTGATTCCTCCGTCAGATACTTAGTCTCGGGTGGTATCCTGTGATGGGGTAAGGGTAAGTGAGACATAAAGGTTTATACGTAGAGAGCGCGCTTCTATCTGTTCTCTACTTCTCCCTTTTAAAACAGATGTTCTTACACAGTAAAAAAGGAGGTAGGCGCTCCTTCCCGAGGCCAAGCATGCTGTTGTGACTAGAACGTTTTAAAACTAGCGAGGGTTCTTGGCTTTGGCAATGCTTAAGTAACATTTTATCATCACACTTGGAATACTGTATAATTCTAGATGCCAAATCCAGGAACAATATGAAATTAGGAAAAGTCCAGGGAAAGCTGACTCGATAAGCCAGTTGTGAAAGCGAGTAGTCCTGTTAAATATACTGAAGAAAGGAATAAGTACACAAAAATGTCACTTTGCTTCCCTGCTGCAAACCAAGGAAACTGATACTATATAAGTCCTTTGAATACAAAATTTAAAAATATGAATAGATCATCCCCTCCCCAAAAAAGTTCTCATACTTCACTGGTGAGAGGCAGATTTGTAATAGTTATTTGGGGAAATAGGGATGTTTGAAGAACACAGTTTTGCACGGAGCAAGTTGTACCCATTCTAGTGAGAACAGTGACCTCAGCATAATTGAGAGGAATCATTTTGACCCTGAGACCTCAGAACCAAACAAGGACTCAAGGTCATTGGCTAGAATAACTTTGTGGTATTTTTTCCATTTATTTTATGCATATTGTTCTTAAAGGGTTGTGAAAGAGATTGGAACCTGGGAAACACATAGAAATCCCAGAGTATTAAAGGGGCTGGGAAAGTGGCCTTGAAACATGAATTTTGTATCTCTTGTTTGCGACTGTCTGGAGAAGAAAGCTATTTTGGGGCAAAGGTTTTTATTCTGCCCTAGAAACACCATTCTTATTCACATGTACTTTTGGGGTACATGTGTGAATAGGAGGAAGGAGGTGGAGGGAAAATTGCTAGGGAACAGAGTCAGGAATTTCTAACTTGGCCACCAAGCATGAAGTTTAGTTCCTGGGAACAGAGAATTAGCTGAAATTTCCCTCCCCTACTCATGCATGATCTTGGATGTTTTGGAAGTAGGGTCAGGGCCTCAGGCTAGTGCAGGCTAAAAGGCCAAATCCAGCCTGTAGCCTGTGCATGTCCCTCAAACAAGGCACTTTTTCATTTTTAAATGGTTGAATAAAGTAAAAGAATATTTTTTGACATGTGAAGCTCATATCACAGTGTCTATAGATAAAACTTTATTGGAACACAGTTGTACTCATTTGTTTACATGTTGCCCGTGGCTGCCTTCATGCTACCACAGGTGAGTAGTTGTGACAGAGACTGTGGCCTATGAAGCCTAAAATATTAATATTATCTGACCTTTGCAGAAAAAGTTTACTGCCTTTAGGCTAGTGGGATATGGATGGGGAAGAAATAGAACCTTAGCAGCAGAGACTTAGGAAAGCATGACATTCAAGATGGAAATGTCAGTGCTAAAGCTGATGTGAAGTCTTCCAGGTGGGGGCACCTTAGGGCTCAGATAGTGATACTGTTCTCTATGCGGCTGGGCATCAGGTATTCATAAGGCAGGTCAACTTGCTCATTCCGGGCTTTAATCTCCTTTTCCAGGTTTTCCAGATCTGTTTGGAATTGCTTTAGCACAGCTTTGGCCTTGGGGCCTGAGAAATATTTTTCTTTGTGATGCCCCAGAGGTACCTGAGACAGAACAAAGGATCAGTCAATTTTTAGTCTGAAGACAGAAGCACCTAAAGCCCAGCACCTCACTCTGATGTTTTCTTTCCAACTGTTATTTCCCTTTCCCTAGAGTCCCCTCTTACCATGTCTGGCTGGCGGCGACCCAGGTGCCATGTGATGGTCATTTGAAGACAGGCCTGCCGGACATCTGGTAGTGACCCCATCACTGTGGCCATTGTCACATCTTCCTTGGTGGTGGGTGGGGGCATCCGCATTGTGCATGGGGCATTAGGGACCCAGGCATACCAGTCCAGCTGGGGAAGAAACTGCAACCCTAGGACCCTGGTACATAAGGTTTGAATTCCCATCTCTCCCTCAGGTCTGCCAGGGTCCAGACACTTGCCTTCAGGAACCTGGGCTTTCAGCTGTCCATACCTGGCCCTGGTTGATGGCCCCATGCTGGGCAGTGCATGCGAAGACACACATGGTAAGGAAATGGCAGAGTTGAGCCTGGGACTGGAAGGAGATAGGGAAACCTGGGTGGGAAAGGAACAGGATTTAGAGGCTATAGCATATGAGGAGAGAAATAAAGGCTGATATCTTGGATGTCCATATTTTAGAATTCATAAGTGTTCATTTATTTAGATATATTTGCATCAGACATGGGTTTCAATCCTGCTCAGTCACTTACAGCTTGGTTAACTTAGGCTAATTAACCTCTCTGAACCTGTTTTTCATCTGTAAAATGTAGATGATACCTACATTATAAATGAGGTAATGTATCAAGATCAGCTGGTATCAATAAGTGCTCACACTTAGTTGTTATGGAAGGCTTGGGGGCTGAAAAGTTCCGAGTGATCAAATAGCCTCTGCCTCAAAAAGTGGTTAAGAATTTAGGAATGCTGCCCCCTATTCTCAGACAGGCAATTATAAATCTCTGTGTTATATAGAAGTTATGGATTTCCATGTCACAGCAAAGAGGAGCTTCCCATAAGGATTATTTCAGGCCACTCATTTTATAGTGGATTTGGGGGCTCAGAGTCCCAATAATTGTATTTGTTAAGTGGAACAAATATAAGTACTCCCATTTTATAGATTAAGAAAATCAAAGACCAGAAATATTGAAATGCTTGTCAGGATTGCATAGTTGTGAAAAGGCAGAGGCCAACCTTGAACTTGGGTTCCTGACTGCTAATTCCATGCTCTTTTTAATTTTAGCATACTTTCTCTAAAAAGTCTGTTGGAAAAATAAAGCAAAGGTAAGCTATGAGAACTGAGGGAGAATAAGAGGGAGGGAAGAATGAGAGGCACATAGTGGAGGTTAAAGTTAATTTGTGTTATGAACTGAATATATGTCCCTCCAAAATTCTTGTGTTGAAATCTAATCCCCAAAGTGTTGGGATTAGGAGGTGGAGCCTCTGGGAGGTAGGTCATGAGGGTGGAGCCTTCATAGATGGGATTAGTGCCTTTATGAGAAGAGGCCAGAGAGCTAGACTGCTCTCTTTCTGCCATGTGATGAGATAAGGAGAAGAAGTTGGCTGTCTGCAACCTGGAACAGAGCCTTCACCAGAACCCTGACCTGCTGGCACCCTGATCTTGGACTTCCAGCCTCCAGTACTGTGAGGAATAAATTTCTGTTGTTTATAAGCCATGCATTCTATGGTACTTTGTTATAGCAACCCAAACTGACTAACAGTATCTATGTTTCAAAACATAGATACTGGCCAGGGAGAGAAAGAAGGGACATGTCTTTTGGGACATGTGGAGCCTAAAGTACAGTACTGAGAAGTATAACGTTTGGTCCTGGAAGGGTGGGGCTGGTGCACCTACAGATTCCCCAGGGAGAGGCTCCCTCCAGGGTGCAGGTGTTTCCTTTTTCCAATCCGCTTTCCCAGGATTGGCTGTAATGTCCCCAGTCAGTGTTTGTATCATCCCACAAAGGCAGAGGTGTTGGTCTGAAGAGGGAGGGGGAGGGACTGGAGAACGATTCAGAACAGTCCAGGTAGGCCTTTGTTAGAGGAGGATGAGCCTAGGAAGGGCTCAAGAAAGGTGGTTTCTTCCCCAGAGGTTAAAATGTGGGGGGTGAGGAGTGACAAAAGTTAGTGGCTAGATTCTGGCTGGGAGATGGGGGAGGTCAGGAGGGGGCTGGACTGGCAAAAGAAACCTGAGCCCCAAGGATCAGGGGCCTGAGTTTGGGTTTGAGCCAAAGCATGGTTAGTATTGAGTTTGCGTCTAAAATGACCTTGTACTGTGGCAAGCATGCAGTATGCCTAGACCAGGCGTCCTCAAACTGCGGCCCGTGGGCCACATGTGGGTGTTTTTGCCTGTTTGTTTTTTTACTTCAAAACAAGATATGTGCAGTGTGCATAGAAATTTGTTTATAGTTTTTTTAAAACTGTAGTCTGGCCCTCCAACAGTCTGAGGGACAGTGAACTGGCCCCCTGTTTAAAAAGTTTGGGGACCCCTGTCCTAGACCCTTTGTATGTGCTGGACAGTAGCAGGCAGGAGAGGGAGGGAACACAAGGTGGGTCATCATAGGCTTCAGTGGGAAACATCTTCCCATTTATATCCTTATGAAGAGAAGGAGACACTGGGCAGAAACCCTCACTGGCTGTAGTTCTGGCTTGGCTGGGCCCCATGATGTGTCAGGTTAGGGGCATATGTGACTAGGTTTGGCATAGGGGTTGATGACCAGGGTCTCTGAGGAGGATAATCCTTGGGTGTCTAGAATTGTCCTGAGTCTCAGGAGGTGTGATTGGGGTTCAGATGCTTTCCCATGCGGAGGGAGGGGTGTGTGATGAAGGGTTGGGGTCCTGGCCCGAGAGGGGCAGGGCTGGGAAGGGGCCCTGGCAGAGTCTCCCAGGAGCTCCTGTCTCTGGGATGGACCTTACCTCGGTCCTGGGCCTGGCACAGCCCCACCTCTGTGATGTCCCGACACCAGGCCTGCAGCTCAGGGTCCCCCCTCACGACGTCATCTTTTTGGTAGAAGGGGTGGATGATCCCCTCCACGTACCTGCCCAGAGGAGAAGGGAGCTGAGCTCTCTGAGAGTAGAAGGCCCCAGCCTCTTACCTCTGCTCCTCTCTCTGTGGCATCTGTCCTGCTGCTTCTACAGTGTCTGGAGAGGAACCTCAGAACACTTGCCTTTGGGGACATCCTCTGTGCTTTAAACACACGAGTGTCTAATGGAAGGAGATGAGGGTCAGTAGTTCTAGGAATTCCCTACACAGGGTTGCTGGCCATGCTTCCTAGCAACATCCTGAGTTTCCAAAGCCCCAGTCTCCCCGCCACAGCTCTCCTCACCTGTGTTCTCTGCCCCATACCAGTCTCTTCCCTCTCAGAGCCCGCCCACTCTGTCCTCACCCTTCCTCCTCTCTCCCCAGGGTTGAGCTGTCGGCTCCTCCTGGCTGCACCTCCTCATTTGCACTGTGCTTTTTTGCCCCATGCTGACCTCAGGCCAGAGCCCTTCTCCTCACACCCCTCTGTTTCTCAGCTCCCTCTCACCCACCGGGCAGTGATCTCCCAGAGCCGCAAAGCATCATGGGCATAGTGAGCACTTGGGATGCCCAGCAGGCCGCGGTCTGCCAGGTCGTCAGGAGGACAGAGGGAGCAGTAGGTCAGCTGAGCCATTGCCCGACGGAGCAGCTGCACATGGCCCCCTCCACCTGTGCTCACTGCCTGGGACAAGAGAGTTGACAGGTCTTGAGGGATAGAAGCACGTGTGGAGGACCACAGCTTACTAGAAAAGGTGATTGGAGGTGAGATTAAGATCATGGCTAAAAAAGGGACAGGGCTCGTGGGTCTGAGGGTCAGGACATTCACATTGGTTGGTTTGGGATCTTGAAGGTGGCAGAAGATCATAGAGAGCTGGAAGATTAGGGGGCTCCACACCTCATTTCCTCCTCACCTTATCAAATATTCCTCCATCTGAGATGAGTTGGGTCCGTGCCCGCGTATTAATTTCCATGGTGTAGCGGATATGGGGGATCAGGAGCTGGGGTAGAGGAGATGGGAGGGGAGGTTAATGGAGGCTATGCTTGGGTCCTTTCCTTGTAGGGCCAGACACCCAGCATGGTGCCTTCTCTCCTCTTGATGCTTTCTGCCCTGCTGCTGCCTTGACAGGCTGATCCCCTTCTTCTCTGGTCACTCCCTCTCATGTTCTCCAGCTCCCCTGTGAGTTGGTCCCTGGAGCCACACTGACCAGGATTTCAACCTAAACTTCATCACTCACTTTGGTACTTGGCCAAGTTAATGGCCTCTAACCTGCAATCTCCTCATCTGTCAACAGGGGGCAATAATAGGATCTCTTATCTTAGGGGCTATGGTGATGCTTATGTGAGTGATGTGTGAAGGGTATTTAGTACACACAAAAGTCCTCAAATAGTGGCTATTACGGTTCTATTATTTCCAATTCAAGTGTAGGTATCTTAAGAATCAGCTCCTTTTGATTTTCTTCTATATTTCCTCTATCATTCATATCCTCATAGCTTAAACTAGCCTCTCAGTATCAAAGCGGCACCTCCATCCTTTAGTTTCACTGTCGGGTTTTTTTAGGGAGGGTACTTTCTGTCGGAATTAGAGGAGCTATATTGAGCTACCTGCTTAAGCAGCAGAGAGGCTGTTGTCAAATCTGCCCCCAGCCCTAATTAGGCACTGTCAGACCCCCCTCCTGCTTTCCCTTAGCTATTGAAAAAGGCCACCTGATCCTCCCATGCATTTCTTTTTATCTTAGACTATTTGTCTTACATTCCACATAGTTAATATGCAGGTTTCATGCAATTTGGGTATGTATCTGAATTGTTGATGTTGGACACAGGGAACGACCCAAGTGATACTTTTGGTGTTAAGATTTCAAAGCAGCTCACATTAGTCTCAAATCCAAAAAAATTCATGAAAGATGCTGCATGTCTTAGAAAGCCCAAAGTCCACGTGAGGAGGGAAGATGCCTGAGGACAACCCCTAATAACAATAAATGCAAAAAATAATGTTTTTTGTAGCATTTAGCATGTGTCACACTATTACATATCATAACCTTTAACAACCCCACGATGGAGATCCTGCTATCCTCACTTAAAGATGATGACATCTGGTAAGTACCAAGGCCAGGATTCAGGATTCAGACCCTAGAAGTCCAAATCCAGAGCCCGCAGAGGTAGCTACTATGACATTTGCAGGCTTAACCCTCCTGTGTGTCCGATAACGACTCAGCTCTTTGATGGGATGAGGCTGCTGTGGTGAGTAGAGACAGGGAGGGGCTGCACTAGTGAGAGGAGTTGTAAGTGTGAAGAGGCTTCAGCTATTCAAGCAGAGCAGAAGTTGGGGATGCAGGAGGCATCATGAGAGAACTAAAATCCAAGATTCTATTAATCAGACTGGTCTCCATCTTATCTGTGTTACCAAAGGGGTAGTTCCAAAGGGTCACGGCTATACTGGTCAGGCCTGGATGGGGGCTCCCAGCTGAAACAATTCAGTTATTCTTCTTATCAAGTACTCAATTGTGTACCTTGCCAACACTTCAAACTCCATATACCTAAAACTGAATACTTCATTTTTGCTCCTAAACAGGCTTCTTCTAACTTTACTGTTTCTGACAATTACTCTGGTTCATAAGCTTGTATCATTTTTGTGCCCCTTCGGCCATGTTCCCTATATGTAGAGTGTCATCAAGATCTTGAGAACATATTTAAGCAAGCACAAGTTTTATTTTGCAGCCTTCTGCCTAGTAATAGATACTGAACTCAATGTTTTATAGAATTACAATATTTCTTGGTCAGTAGAAAACACCCACCCACTTCCAGGTGTTGCAGAAGTTTAGACTTTTCTCTCTCCCGTTTTGCACCCAGGCACACTGAAGCTACTTCTTCCTCCCCTCACCAAGTCTTTATTTTTTTCCTTTCATTCTTGGCACCACCATGTAACGTACATGGTCCACCTCACTCTTGGTCCACCTCACTCTTGGTCCACCTCACTCTCAGGCAGATATGAGTAGCCTGCTGGGCTGTTCTCCTTGCCTTTTTTTTTTTTTGAGCCAGAGTCTCACTCTGTTGCCCAGGCTAGAGTGCCAATGGCATCAGCCTAGCTCACAGCAACCTCAAACTCCTGGGCTCAAGCAATCCTGCCTCAGCCTCCTGAGTAGCTGGAACTACAGGCATGCACCACCATGCCCGGCTAATTTTTTCTATATATTTTTAGTTGGCCAATTAATTTCTTTCTATTTATAGTAGAGACTGGGTCTTGCTCTTGCTCAGGCTGGTTTCGAACTCCTGACCTTGAGCGATCCACTGCCTTGGCCTCCCAGAGTGCTAGGATTACAGGAATGAGCCACAGCACCCAGCCTCTCCTTGCCTTTTGATCTGTTCCTACTTAGCTGACTCCTCAGTTGGGGTAGAACATTCTCCATCAATAGTATACTGTTTGTAGGCTCTTGTGATTTCAAACTCTAGTTCCAGATATTGTTCTCTGGTTTGTTCTTATGGGAGCCATTTGTTTTCCTGGCTAAATACTAAATCTAATAAGGCAGGCCTAAAGCTTTTGTTTTACGAACAATATCCCAGCTGTACTGCAAGCCCATTGCTCAATTGTCAGATCTCTGAGAATTTCAGAGGGCTCCCTTATAATGTGTCCTGAGAAATGGTTAGATGAGTCAACAACTAAAAGTCTCAAGATATTGATACAGTCTTCTTTTCTCCCCCTTTTCACTCACAAATTGCTATAAAGTTTTTTTTTTGCTGCTGCGATACCATCTGATATTGGGCTGTTTTTCTGTCGGGGGTCTGAGAGAGATGGGACTTGGTAGAGCTTTTACCTTGAAGACAGGGTGCAGTCCTGGGAGGCACCTCATGGTGGCGACGGCAATGACCTCAGCCACCAGATGAGTGTTCAGCAAATGATACTGGAGCTGGTGCAGCTGGAAATCTGAATTTCGGACCCAGGACTTTGCCAGGAGCCAGGCAAGTGGGGGATCTGAGGGCAGGAACAGTGTTGGGGTTTGGGAGCTAGGCTTGGGAGGCTGAATCTGGGAGAAAAAGAAATTAGTCACTTATTGAACTCCCACTCAACGCAGGACATTGTGGTCAGCATTCTTGGGGAAACACAGATGACTAAGTAAGATTATTGGCTTCCAGGAGGTTATAATCTAATAGGAGGAATGAGACCCCTTGCACCCTCCCTCTTACTAGCTGTAGTGCTGTGATGGTTGGGTTGCATGCAGGAGAGTTGGAAGCAGGGGGTCCAGTGAGGAGGTCCTAACCGTGGTTTGAAGAAACGTGATGGGGGTCAGAGCTCAGGTGGTGGTGGAATGTGAAGGAGATGTGTAAGATTATTAACAGTGCTCAGCAACTGACTGTGAAGCATAGTGAGAGAACAGATATTCAAGAGATAGTGGGTGTTCAGAGTTACAGGCCACTGAGAGATTCAATAGTGATTCTCGAAGTATGGTCCTGAAACTAGTAGTGGCAGCATTACTCTGGCCCTTATATGAAATGCAGATTCCCAGTCCCCACCCTAGACATACTGAATCAGAATGTCTGGTTGTGGGACCCAGTGTTTTAATAAGCACTTCAGGTGATTCTGATGCACACTAGTTTGAGAACCACTGTGTACAGGATGAGAACTCCGAGAGGCCATTATGACTCTTGAACAAGTACTTCCAGTTGGGTGAGTCAGGGGAGACCAGGGTACAAGCAACACAGCGACATGAGGACAGGTCTCACTGAGTGAAGAATGGGTTTGGGAGCCAAGAGTCATGAGGCTGGGTCCCTGACCAGAGGGTGATGTGGATGGAGCGCGGTGTTGGGAGGGGATGCCCAGGGCGCCTCACCTGGATGAGCAAGGGTAGCAGCTTCCCACTGGGCTCCATCTTCAGCATGACGAGGGGGGCAGCCAGGTACTGCTGCTCTCCTCGGATCACGTTGGCTGGGATTCCATCCAGCAGGATGAAGTCAGCCTCAAACAGGGAACCGTTCTGGGGAAAGGAAAAATGTTCCCATGGGTAGAATTCTACCTCCAGAGGGCCAGGGCAAAGGACAAGACATTTAGTTAAGCTTATGGCCATTGTCTCACATCAGTACCAGAGTCCTATTGGCAGAACTAGCACACCTGATCCAGTGCCTCTCATTTTAAAGTGAAGGAACAGCTGAGTGAGGGTAGATGTCCTATGCATGGATATGTGGCAGCAGATCTGGGTTTAGAACCAGGCCTGCTGAATCCGGTTTGCACCGTAGGCATCGTAAACTGACCCTTTGTCAAGATGGCCAGGCCCCTTCCTGGTCATCCCCTAATGGTCTGGCTCCCTTCAGCCCAGCAAATGCCCTTTCATCCCTGCTCAACCCTCACCTCTGCTGCCAAATGTTCCAGAGCTTCTCCTAACTACCACTGCCACCAAATACAGCACACACACCCATCCCACGTAGGCTCGCCCTGCTCACGTACAGTTCATCTCTTCCAAACCCAGCTCCCCTTGTATAGAAAACCTCCCTGATTGTCCCCACCTGATGGCACATTCTTCACTTTTATGCCTGCCTGTGAATTCTGGAGTCCAGAACACCGACAGCCAGGGGATGTCATTGTTCCTGCTAACATCTCTGGCCCCTGTCTGTGCCCTCGGGATCCACCCTATTTCCCCCCTTCATGCTAGGAGCTCCTCATAGTTTTTCCCCTATGTATTTTATCATTTCTAGATTTTTCCCACATAAGACTTTGCAGCAAGGGACAGTGGATTACTGCAGCCTCCCTTCCTCTGACTCAGCTTTGGTTTTTCTCCCTCACGAGTTCTTCTTACCACACTACTAAGGAGAGAACAATGCCAGGCAGGGGGAGATACCTGGAGTTCTTTCTCCAGCTGGGCCCGAAGCTCCTCTGTCCCCGAGGGCAGCACCAGCCTGGAGGGCAGAGAGGTGGAGCGTCTCAACAGCATGGGGTTGGCACCGTTGAGGAACTGGTAGCCAAAAAGCTCATCGTCTTGCCAGCGCTGGTGAACCTTCTCTGTGGGGGAGGGGGTGGAAGGAGCATGTTTACCACAGCTGGGGTCCCCGTCCAGGCAAATGACCCACACTGTACCCAGCCCCTGTGTTTTAATTCTTCAGGCCTCTCCGAGATGACCAGACATGAGAAGCTCTCTTATTGCAAGAAGTTATGAGGGCCTGTGGAGTTTGGTGGACAGGTCATCAAAAGGGGCTATTAAGGAGTTATGGGGACCTGGGGGAACACTGACCAGCCAGGGTACTCTTCTGGCCCCAGAAGATCTGATCAAAGTCTTCTAGGCGGTTCCAGGAGCTCAGGAGGGTGTAAACACGTTTGAGGACCATCTCCAGGGCCCTAGGACAGGTATTGAGGTTTGAACTCATCAGCTGATTGATCCTTCAGCCCCTCAGCATATACCAGCATTCTTGGATCTCCCGGCCCTCATTCCACTCTGAGTCCCAGCTCACAGCTTTTTCTCACCCTGCCTTCAGTGTCCATTCAAAGTCCCGCCTCTTCTCCTCATGGAATCTCATATTTGGAGGTAGGTCATCCTCACAGTCTGCAGCGATGGTCAGCGGTAACCCTTCCTTCCAGGTGGCCCAGCTAGAAGTTGGGGACAAGCCTTCAGGGAGGATGTTGAGGTCAGTGATGGGGGCAGGGTTAGGAAGGGGTGGGAGAAATGGGAGGCCCAAGGGTGGGTGGTCACCGGTAGATCTGTTGTCTTTCCTTTAGTTCCTTCTCTCGATGCTTCTGGAACACATCCAAGGCATTGTCTCCTGCCAGGCGGGCTGGGGAGACATTAAGATGATTGGCCACACCGCTGTGTCTGGTCCTGGGCTCATCCCTGCCTATCCTCCTCTTCCTTTTTGTAGCCATGCTCCTTGTTTTCAGGCATGCACTGCTGCTTTCGTCTCTGGCTGTGCCTCGTGTGGTTGATCCCCAGACACATTTATCCCATTTTCACTAACCTTGCACTCCTGATTTCACTTACTTCAGCCCTGATCTTTTGCTTGTAGACAGAAATGTCATGGTTGCTTGCCACCTTTTCTTGTTCCTTAACTCATCTTCCCCTACCTGACCTTATTTCATCAATATCTATGGTTGGAAAAAAAAATCACCTTAATTAAGGTGATAAAATCTTAGTCACCTGTATGCCCATACCTTATTACTACATATTGCTTTAATTTCACATTTCTTAAGCATCACCTGGCACAACTTTGCCTGTCCTCAAAAGATTTTGCATTTGCTTTTTAAACCTGACGTCACCTTTCTCGGGCCTACTAAGTTGTCTTTATTAACTTGTTCCTGATTTTTTTTTTTTTTTTTTGAGTCAGAGTCTCACTCTGTCACCCAGGCTAGAGTGCCATGGTGTCAGCTTAGCTCATAGCAACCTCACAATCCAGGCTCAAACAATCCTTCTGCCTCAGCCTCCCGAGTAGCTGGGACTACAGGCATGTGCCACCATGCCTGGCTAATTTTTTCTATATATTTTTAGTTGGCTAATTAATTTATTTCTATTTTTAGTAGAGACGGGGTCTCGCTCAGGCTGGTTTTGAACTCCTGACCTTGAGCGATCCACTGGCCTTGGCCTCTCAGAGTGCTAGGATTACAGGCGTGGGCCACTGCGCCTGGCCACTTGTTCCTGCTTTATCTGCATTTAAACTCACCTGTGTCAAAGTCATATTTCCATTCTTACAACCCTTGTCCTCTTTTGTTGTTTCATTCATCTCTCTTGTTTCCCATGGTAGAACATTCGATATTTGCTGTCCTCCGTCATCCCCAGCTGCTCTCCAACGTCGTGTCGTTTGTTTCCCTCACCTGCCTCCTGTTCACCAGTCAGCCCCCTCTTCCATTCCATGTGGTCCCCTGTCCTGAGTCCCATAGAGATCTCCTTTCTGCTTTTACTTTGCTTCTCAGTTTTCCTTCCTCACTGCAACTCCCAGCCCTATCCTCACCTTCTTGGAAGATGGGATTTCCAGATCTCTCATTCTCTGTCTCCAGCCTCACTCGCAACCTCATTTACTCTGTGTAAAACTCTGGGAGTTCATCATAACTTCCCGCTTCCTGTCATGCACCCTGGGATCCCTACATTTATCCTGCCACGTGCCCATCCTGTCTCTAAGTCCCCTCCAACCAACCTCCCCCCCCCCCGCCACTCCCTGGTCCCTGCGCCCCCTCCCCCGACGGGGCCGCTCACCGGTGCCCTCGGGCAGGCTCAGGACGCCCCCGCCCTGCACCCAGCGGTAGCACGGGAACGCCGCCTCCGCGCAGGCTCCCGGCCCCTGCACCGTGATGCGGTCGCAGAACCACGCGTCGTCCACCAGCGAGTGGTGTTTGCGCAACTTCACGAACTGCAGGGTCCCCAAGTCCTCGGGAACCGCAAGATCAAACTCCTCCTCCTGTGGGGGCCGGACCGGCCAGACTTAGTAGCGGGGACCTGGGAGAGGCGGTTTTGAGGGCGGAGCCGCTCCTTTGTGGAGCCTCAGTTTACCAGGGCCTGGTTCCTCCCCGCAGAACCTGCCCGTGGGTCTCAGATGCCCGATGTCAGGGGAGGACAGGGACCCAGTGCGTGGCCGCAGTGACTTGAGTGGACGACTGAGCATCACACCTGTGTGGGTCCCGCTGACTGCGCCCTCACCGCGCCCCTGCTTGGAGGAGCTTCTCGTGTGACCACTGGTCATGTACTTACCTCTGGGTCATTTGGAGAAGGACTTGGACGTCGGGAGGGGAACGGTCGGGGAAGGGAGACGTGGGTTGAATCCAGCCCTGGACGCAAAGTCCCGACCCTCTCTTCGCCCCGGACGTCTCAACTCCATGAAGTCCCGGTCCGCGCGCCTTGTCGCCTCGCCCCCAGCCTCCTGCCCCTCGCCCACCTCTCGAGTCCGGCCCAGGGCCCCCGCCCCTCCCGATCCCCCGCTGACCTCTCCTCGCACCGGCCGCAGCTGCAGCTCCAGCTCCGCCTCCCTGCGCGCCCCGACCAGCCACAGCTGCACGCGGTTGTGCGACCCCGAGAAGAGCCAGGCCCCGGTGGCCACGCGGATGCGGTAGCGGCCCATGGTGGCCCCGGCAGGCTGGGCGAGGGGAGCCGGGTCCTGCGCGACTCCTGGGATCGCCCAGGGCCGCCAGCGCCTCGGGGCCAGTTCCGGCCTTTAAAGGATAGGTCTTCGGCCCCTCCCTCCTCGCAACTTTTGGACGCTCCCACGTCCCCGCCCCAGACTAGCCCAAACCTGCGAGCAGAGCGGTAGAGCCGGCTGCGGGGACCGGCTGTGCCTCTAGGTCGGAGTGTAGCTGCCAGAAGATAAAGGGACCCTGGCCAGGGTGAGCCGGGGAGGGTGGGTGCGGCGGGGACTTTCTGGACCTCTGGGGGAGGCCTGGGAACAGGAGCCTCCGGGATGGAGCGAAAAAGGATGAGGACACTTTCCAAGGTCTTTTGGGGAGCTAGGAAAAATGCGGGTGAATCCATCTTTCAAATGGAGAGGAGAGCCTCCGCTTATCCCGGCCGGGACTTGGGGAAGGCCAGCTTCTGGGAGGCTGCGCTAGGCCACCAGGGATGCCTTCCGCTAGACCCTGCGAAGTAAGTCCCCCAGTACCTGATCGCTGTCGCCTTGGAGCCCTGTCTTTTCAGTAAGTGGCCATGGGTTCCCCAGCCTTCCTAAAACCTGGAAGAGTAACAGCTCAAGGCTTGTTACCCCCCAACACTATTTAAAACGTTCAGGAATTGGGATCCCAAGTACACCAGACATCGTGGGCCGGACATCTGGAAAGAGGCCTGCGGCGGGGCAGAGAAAGCTTCATTTTGTTCAATCTCCATAGTAGGTGCAGGAGACGTTAGCGACCCGGGAACGCAGTCTGGGTGTTAGGGTGCGGTATGGAATCACTTAGGGACCTAGCACACATGGGCAATTCCCGTGAACGTTGTGCTTGCCAGGTGAGTGCAGCCCCTTCCCCTCCTTTAGTAGGCTCCAGGGTAATTTTTATTCCCAAGCTATTTCCTGGTCCTTCATGGGTCTCAGGGTAGGAAATCCAGGAACATCAGTGGGGCCAGTGCTGGGTAGGGACTTTGTAAACATCAGAAGGATGATTCAGGGCTCAGGCTCCATCACCCATCCAAGAATCAATCAGATGAAGCCTGGTGCACAGGCTCCTGTCTAGATCTTCTAGATCCGAGTCATTGTAAGCATTTGGCTCACAGTGGATGTGTTTGGTAGCCTGGGCTAGACCAGAGCAAGGTTAATCTGCTTTCCTAAGCCAGACCTCAAAAATGGTGTGCCGTTTGTTGGAAGGGATAAGCGAGAGGGGGTTCCAGTCCCACCTTCCAGCCTCTAGACCTTCCAGAAGTGTCTGATCCTTACTGGGTGCCAGTCCCCTCTTATCTTCTATCAGGGGTGGGGAACTTGCTGTCCTGGGACCACATGTAGCTTTCTGTATTCTTGAGTGTGGCCTTTTGACTGCACAAACTTCACAGAACAAATCCCTTTATTAAAAGGATTTGTTCTATAAAATTGGGATTCGGTGGAGGGGCCACATATGGCCTTAAGGCCACAGCTTCCCACCCACTCCTGCCTACATCCTCTGTGCTCACAACTTCCTGTCTGCCATTTGCCAGCCTCCAGTTCTTTCAGTTTTCTGGAGTCACCCTATTCTGTAATATCCAAAGAAAATGGCTTGAATGCCCATCCTCCATAATAGCAGGACCTGGCCTTTTCCACATATGATTTTTGTGGTTACTTTTGCCTGGAAAAGAGAATTTGTTTCATACCTACTTCCAAAACCAGCCATACTGCAGCCTGCCTCTCTGCTGTTTTTTGATTCCTTTTTCTGCCCACTGTAGTGTGTGCTATGAGGCCACATACAGAGAGAGGGAATGAATAATTGAGAAAATAATCCAAGCTACTGCAAATGCCAAATGAGTTAACATGTTTAAACACTTAGAACAAATGCCTAGGACACAGTCCCTCTATGTATTAGCTGCTCTTATTTTATTATTTACAATTGAACGGCAGCATCACTCCTCTTGGAAATCCCTCTAGCGTTCCTCACCACATACTGTTTTCCCATGTCCGTCTATAGGCCCAGCTTCCCCGAGAGCTCTTACCCCTTAAGACTCTTCCTCCTTCTTCTTTTAAGCACGTGCACTATATTGGGAGAATATAATTAAAAACAAAATCTCCCAACCCAGAACACCTCCCCACAAAAGTAGTAAAGAAAGAGAAACAGTTTAATTGTTGAAAAAGCATTAAACCTAAATATGATATACATCACAGGCAGCTGCTAACAGATTGCAAAGTCAGAAAGAATCTCACTTCTTTTATATAGCCAAACAGAACCCATTACATACATGTTCTCAAGATAAACAGTAACTAATCCTCAAGTAAGAGGACTTTATGTATCAATAGTACCATTTGTCACACATAGTGCAGCCTAGGCTCACCTGGTACTTGGAACGACCATCTGTGTTAACTAATTGGCTTAATAAAAAGAAAAACAAACTTCTCTTATTTTATGCCAGGTGATAGTTTTGCAATTCCAGCAAAGTGCCCATCTGAGTTAGGCTCCTAACTTCACACAGACCTGGGAGATGGAGGCTCTGTCTCCCTTGGGCTTTATGTTTCAAGGAGTTGGCTCCCAGGTCCTTTGAGAAAGACATTCCTGGATCATAAAGCTGGCAAGAGGCTGTGTAGCTTCTTAAAAGATTTACACACATTTCAAAGAGACAGAAAAGAGAGAGAGAGAGTTTTCCAAAGAAAAGAGACAGAGTTTTCCAAAGCACATGCTCTAAGAAGAAAGATGAGGGAGAAGTCTTTCCCCTTATTTTCAACAGGGAAAAGTAAGCCTCTTATTTTTAAATTTTTATTTGTTCCTACAACTACCATTTTGTCCTTAATGTATGCCACAAGAAGGACCAAGGGCGTGATTTTGTCCGCGCCCTTTGCAGTAGGGAAATGACACTGGCATACGTGCACACCAAAGTTGAACTCTGTCTTCTTCTCCTGACTCCCAGTGCCCTGCTGCCAGTAGGCAATGCCCACATTCTCATGACCTCTCTTTGCAGAACAATTTAACTTCTTGATCAAAGCTTCTCCCACTGGGTTATGCCTGAAGGGTTGTGGGCGAGGGGGGATGGACTTTACATTTCATAGCAAAAAAGAGTCTTTGTAGACATGAGAATAATGTCATCCTTTTCTTCTATGCCAATGTGGCCCAAACTGCACAGTGTTGATGATAACTCCATTGTCTCTGCTGCATTAGTGTTTGGAGCCCATGTTTGGCATGAGGCTGTATAAATTTGTATTTGTTCCTAGAGTAACCTATACATTGGACACTCAAGCATGACATTATAAACTGTGATTTTAAACTATGTAACCATAGACTCTGATTTCATGGTGGAAATGTTTTTTGGTTTTTGGTTTTTTTTTTGAGACAGAGTCTGGCTTTGTTGCCCAGGCTAGAGTGAGTGCCCTGGCATCAGCCTTGCTCACAGCAACCTCAAACTCCTGGGATCAAGCAATCCTTCTGCCTCAGCCTCCCGAGTAGCTGGGACTATAGGCATGTGCCACCATGCCCAGCTAATTTTTTCTATATATATTAGTTGGCCAATTAATTTCTATTTATGGTAAAGACAGGGTCTCGCTCTTGTTCAGGCTGGTTTCGAACTCCTGACCTTGAGTGATCCGCCCACCTTGGCCTCCCAGAGTGTTAGGATTACAGGCGTGAGCCACCGCACCCAGCCTCATGGTAGAAATTATATCATCTATTTTTCCAATTAGTAATTTGGGTATCCGCCTGTCTCTATTTGCAGGAAGTCCGGCACTTTCCTCTTTGAGTCACTTGCTTCTTTTGTTGTCCTGTGGTGTAGCTGTGGAAACCTTGTCCTGCACAATCTAATGGGTCATTTTCTAGTGCTGCAGGCTTAAAATATTTAAGCATGCTATAAACAGATATGCTGTCATCCAGGCTTTGCTGTTTCATTTATAGAACACAGGCAAAATATATTTAGTATAATTCTTAAGGGTCCTAGGATTTTCAGAATGATAAATGAGCATTGGCTTCAACTTAAAATCACCAGCTGCATTAACCCCTAATAAGAGTCAGCCTGTCCATTGAAGCCAGGCATTGACTTTTCCTCTCTAGCTATGAAAGTCCTACATGATATTTTCTTCCAACATAAGGCCGTTTCATCTTCCATGAAAATCTGTTATTTAGTGTAGCCACCTTTGTCAATGATCTTAGCTAGACCTTCAGAAGAACTTGCTGCAGCTTCTACATCAGCACTTGCTGCTTCACCTTGCACTTTTATGTTATGGAGACAGCTTCTTTCCTTAAACCTCACGAACCAACCTCTGCTAGCTTCAAATTTTTCTTTTGCAGCTTCCTCACCTCTCTCAGTCTTCATAGAATTGAAGAGAGTTAGGACCTCTCTCTGGATTAGGCTTTTGTTTAAGGAAATGTTGTAGCTGGTTTGATCTTCTATCCAGACCAATAAAACTTTCTCCAGATCAGCAATAAGGCTGTTTCACTTTCTTATCATTCGTGTGTTCACTGGAGCAGCACTGTTAATTTCCTTCAAGAACCTTTCCTTTCCATTTACAACTTGGCTAAGTGGTGCAAGAGGCCTAGGTTTTGGCCTCTGTCGGCTTTTGACATGCCTTCCTCACAAAGCTTTATCATTTTTACCTTTTGATTTTAAGTGAAAGACATGCAACTCTTTCACTTGAACACTTAGAGCCATTGTAGGGCTGTTCATTACCCTAATTTCAATGTTATTGTGTCTCAGGGAACAGGGAGGCCCAAGGAGAGGGGGAGAGAGAGGGGGAATGGCCAGTTAGTGGAGCAGTGAGAACACACATTTACTGATTAAATTTTCCATCTTATATGGGTGTGGTTCATGGTGCTCCAAAACAATTACAGTAGTAACATGAAGAACGTTGGTCATAGATCACCAGAATAGATATAATAACAATTAAAAAGTTTGAAATATTGTGAGAACTACCAAAACGTTACACAGAGACATGAAGTGAGCACATACTGTTGGAAAAATGACACTGATAGACCTGCTCAATGCAGGGTTGCCACAAGCCTTTAATTTGTAAAAAAATGCAGTATCTGCAAAGTGCAATAATCAGATGAAGAACAATAAAATGAAGTATGTCTGTATACAAAATGCAATATTCAGCCTTAACTACAGAAGGAAATCCTGCCATTTGCAGTAGCATGGATTCGCCTTGAGGATCACGTGCTAAACGAAGTAAGCCAGTCA